TCTCTCTCTCTCTCTCTCTCTCTCTCTCTCTCTCTCTCTCTCTCTCTTGTTTCATCTCAATCTATTAATCGTGGCCTAAATGCGGTGTCGCCCAAATGCCACATACGCATGGAATTCGATTCCGAATGTCTTTATAGCTTTTTAAAATTTTTATCGTTTTGACAAAATGACTAACGGAAAACATTACTTTTACTACAAATATTACGATCGAAATAAATTTGAGTATCCGTGAAAAATTGTATTAAACATTAGAATTTTTTTTCTGCTTAACGATGACAATGCATGCACGCATAAACTTTTTCGGGCAGAAAGATGGAATCATTCGATATAGTGATATAAAACAAGGGTGTTAAATTACGTTAAAACTAGTGGAACGAGTCATTGCTATATGCAAAATGTATGCGAACGAACGAGCGGATGAGCGCAATTGCGCTCACGCTCACTATGACAACTCTATTGCTCAGTTCGTGTGCAACCACCCCAAATATAAATCAAACCCCAGTCTTTTTATTCCATTCACTTTATTATTATTTTTTTTTTTCTTCTCTCTAACCACTATTTCACTATTTCTTCATCGGCATCATATCCCATTCGAAGAAAACAAAAACTCCTCCATACGCATATCATCTGCATTAGAAATGAATATCTCGAATATTTATTCAAACATGCATTTAGCTCTTCCCGATTTTTTTTTCTACATATATGTCTTGTCACATAATTGCAACATGTTAATGTTACGAGCACACTCAACGCGACATCGTAGGCATTAGATGATTTTTGCGAATCACTCAACCGTTGCATGATTTTAGTGGATATTGATATATTTCGAATCGTTGGCCGTTGTGTGTTTATGAGATTTAGCTAAAAACATCTCCATTTCAGAATCATTCACAATGTTTCGCCCATTCTATCAATCTTCCTTAGATATACAACCATTCTTTCAACGCACAGATTTATTATTCGGAGACCTATCACCCGTTGCATGACTCATCCATACCCGGTGCTCTTTATTTTACTCGGTTCTTTTTTTTCTGCCTTTCATCAACTATGAATATATCTTCCAAACTGCATTAAAAGGAATTCTTGAGCAGTAGTGACTCACATCCATCGATTAATTAATGTTTTATGTTTGAATTTAAGATGATCACATTGCACATCCAAACAATTTTATGCCATTCCAACTATTATTGCGCTTAAAATCAATCATTTCGTTTCGAATTTTATCGAAAAGATTCAGAAGGAGTTTTACGTGGTGTATGCGACATTGACTGAAATAACGCCGAAAAAAATCCGAATTAATGATGTTGAATAGGTTGGTGACTAAGTGAATTTCTTCAAATCGGAATGTTAAAATTTATTTCATACAAAATTTAATTTCACTCATATTCAAGTACAAAACATTTTTTATTTGATTCATTGTCAGAAATTTTCATTATTTTTTAAAAAGATGCGATTCATTCATTTAATCTAATTATAAAATCATTTATGTCATTTACTTGAAGCCAAAAATTGTTTGGAATGTAATTGGGTTTTCGTTCTGTAATTAAGTAATGCATTTGGAATTTAACGAGTATCGTCAAATCATTATTAAATCGCCAAGTAGTCACACTTGGGAGTTGAAACAACATAATTTTTTTCACATTCAAGTTATTGTTTAATGCATCGATGTATAAAGGAGCAATTTTAATCAAAATCGTAAGATTAGACCCCGAGTTATAACATACACACAAAGTTATCTTCAGATTCTCACACAAAACCTTATAAAAAATGCCATTTCGAGGGAAAAAAATCCAGTTCCAAGAAAAATATCGTTTTTTATTCATCTTTTTAACATTTATACCGAAAGATTTTTGACAGTTCTGCTTTCCATTTGAAAACAATTTTGCTTTCATTCAGTTCATTTTGTTTTTGTTCAAGATACTTGAAAAGTCAAATTGAATGCCCGATAGGAAAATGCCTTTAATTTAGATTACAATTTTATTTTTCAACGTTGTGGATAACAGTGAGAATGGTACATTTGATATTTTGGCTTTACAAAGCATGGCTTGTGTTGATCTGGAGAATGATTCAAATATCGGTATAAAGGAATTTTGTTGGAATGGCGCTTACATTTATTTTGGTGATCGAAATGTTGAAGATTCACAAAATCAACAACAATAATAGAGAAAGAGCTATGAGTTATAACACCATAACACAAACATTTTATTAGATATTTACTCATATATATTTTGGATTTATAAGGGTGTATAAATTCTTCATATTTCGTATAAAACATATTGATTCTATCATTTTTCGTCGGATTTCGTTTCTTTTTCGTTTTTCTCATCGGATTTCTCTCCTCGATTTAAGTCAATTTAAAAAAAGAATGATAATAAAATCATAGGTCAAAGTCTGGATCAATTCAAATGACTCAGGGTTCTCAGATTTGTTCAGGAGGAAATTCAAATCAAATTAATTTATTTCATTTTTTACATTGATTTGAATTGTCAAATCAAATAACATTTTATTAACAAATTCAAAACATTTGTACTATTTTGAAAAATTTCAAATTAAAATGTTCAAATCATTTGATTTGAAACGTATGACACTCAAATCAAATTATTTGACTGTTTTTATTTGAACTTTTTCAAATCAAATCAATTTAATTAATTTAAAATACCATTTTGAGAACCTTATCACTATTAGTGATAATGATGAATGTGAAGCAGACATTATATTTTCAGCTAGATGAATCACCTCAGCCAGATATCGTCAGGAGCTGAAATGGAATGAAAACAGTAAAAGTGATCGTTATAGTGATTGAGCAATGTAAGTGTAATTATAGCCATAACAATCGCTTCTATTGTTTTCACTTAATTTCGGCTCCTGACGATATCTGGCTGAGCTGATTCATTTGGCTGAAAATATCTGTTGTGAAGTTAAAAATTGATAACAATTTTCAATGTACTTCGTTTTTTCTTGGACTTTTGTAATTTTGGTGTAAAAACAACAGCATTAGCTCGATACCGTTCAGTGTAGTTCCGCACTGACAGTAGAAACCGGGGAACATAACCCGTTTTTACTCCATTTCAGAGCAATAATAGAATTATACTAAATCTAGTACAATTCAGTTGGTTTTTCACTGTATTAGTATAAAAGTCATTTTTGAAATTCAAAGTTAAAAATGACATTTATACTCATACAGTGAAAAAACCAACAAAATTGTACTAGATTTGGTATGATTCTATTATTGCTCTGAAATGGAGTAAAAACAGGTTATGTTGCCCGGTTTTTACTGTCAGTGCGTGTTCACTTGGTGCTACTGTTAATTTTCAATTTTAAACATCGATGTTGTTTAATATATTAATTTTACTCATTCCGATTTCATTGATCTATCCCACAAATTCAGACCCACTCTCCAGGCGAACGACTGAAATTGTTGATGGCGGTAGAATTGAAATAAGTTGCAGACAAGGTTATGTTAGCATCAAAAGCGAAAACTGGGTATTTCAAAATGGTTGTGGCATTACATGACAAACAGAAGCTCGCTCACAAAAACTTTATAACGGATAAAACCAAAGATTACAGAAAACAGTGCAATAATAGATTATCTCGTTGTACGTTAGGAAATGTTAATTCGGGACTTACAATTAGCCGTGCAATTAGTTATTTGCAACTTAAAGTGATTCATGAATGTTGTACAACGAATTGTCCAAATAATGCATTTCTTAAAAAACATATAGCTAGGGCGATTTGTAATGATCCTGTAAGAGCTACCGAAGAAGCGAACAGACAACAACTTGGACGTGATTGGGAAAGAACAAATATTAATACCATCTTTTTTGGTGCATCAACTATGGCATATTATCGAGATCAAAATTGTGGACCAACATGTAAATTTATCGAACCTGATCAAAAATATCAATGCACAAGGGAACGTGAAGGCCGTCCATGGACTTGTGTAGATAAAGGAAATGCTTATGCTAATCATGGTCTTGTTGATGGTCATTTGATAAGCAACTAATTTTTTTCCGTTTTAAAATGAACGTCGTAACTATTACTTTTTCCGATCGTTTTAAATCATGTTATTAATCTTAAAGTACTGTCAAAGTTCGTCTTAGAGCGAAGCTATTTTTGTAGTTTAATTGAATATCTGAAGTTCTATGATTTTTAACAATTACCATAAAATTGTGAATTCAAAAAATTGAAACAAAATTTGAGAGTTTTTTTCTTTATTTTTTATGTTGAAGCTAATAAATATAATTAAAAAAAAAAACAAAGAGAACTGAGTTTGATCTAACAAGTAAACTGGACGCTCGTTAAGTTTTGCGCATGAAACCCTTTATCTGTGCTTATGTAATAAAAAAAACAGAGATTGAAAGCAGAAATAGTTGCAAAGTAAATTAAAACAATTTTTGGGGTCGACGAAAGACAAAATCGATGATTTGGAAAACATTGGCAGCGACAACCCTCAATTATTGGACTTATTACATGGTTCTGTTGTTGGCGCCGCCTCGAGCAAACATGCGTTTTTGTGGTCGCTTCCGATTGGAGGCACATCATGTATATCTATTAATCAGTTTTAGTAGAATTCAAATCTCACTTTTTAGTCAATCATATAAAACCTGCTCTAGTAGAGCGGCTGTACCTTCGCAAATTACTGCAATAAAAATATTACATTGTTATGTAAAGAATCAATATTTATTTTTCAAATAATTTTTCATAATAACAAGTACATCTAAACAACATGATCTCAAAGATTCTTATACACATTTTCCAAATAATTAGAAATAATTGGATAGATTGGATCATATTTTATAACATTTTTTTGACGAACAACGTTGCGATATTTTTGCAATGCGCCTGTTACCAATTCCAATCTGAAACAAAATAAACGTAAGCCAATTAAAATTGATGGAGTAATTGAACCAATTGACGTACCTTTCTTTTATCGAAACATGTTTGCTTAACCACTCGGTGATTTTCTCATTTGACCACCCGGCAGCCACATGTGGACTCATCAAATCACTGCCAGCGTGTCCAAATAATAAGAGTAATACTATAAATGGTGAAACTGGTCCATCAATTTCAATCGATTTTTTCGATAGTTCATCTGGTGTCAATGTAATCAGACTAGATAACGATCGTAATGTTCTGTTCGAATAAAAAAAAATGAAACATTATAAAGCCGAATATTGCGTTAAACATATATTTTGCTACATGCTACGACAACGCCATCTCTGTTTCCCCATGTGTGTAGAGTATGTTCAATATTGACGTATCATTCAAACGTGTCAATTTTGTACCGCAAAAATAGCTGTCATCGTGAAAATATGTCAACAATATTATTCATTGAAATTTTTGAAATTGACTGTGCCGTGTTTATTTTTTAAAACAATTTTCAAATGCATATTTCTGTAAATCTCATTTCAACGTTTTGAAATATTTGTACAATTCTACATGAATAATATTTTAAATTTTTTAAACTGAAATGAAATTTTCAGCATAGAAACAGCTTCTGCTGCAAGACCAAAGATGTCGTTTTCGGGGGAGATTCGTGTGACGTTTTCATATAAAACATATAGCGCATTACTCGGTTAACATTATATACAATTGAAATATCTATATATTTATGTTGTAATTAACATACCTAAATGTGCGGCTCATTGCGCTTAAATCACCGACCAATGTATTTAAAGCATTTTCAAGATGCTGACAATCGGATTTAAGACGTTGACGCCCCGACGATGATATTGGTCGAATAATAGCCACATTCCATACAAATAATTCAACACAACATTCAGCAAGTTCTTTGCCATGCATTTCCAATAACTGCTTATCCTTAAACGGTGAAATCTGATAATCCCAGGCACGAAACAAGAACTCTTGCAATTCTTTCATGTATAATGACGGTGCACTTGACACCGTTCGTTCATTATTCAAACCGGGTTCACGGTGTATGCTCAATAAAATGATGCCGGCCGCTGATTTCATCGAATCAATCAATTGTTTAACAACTTTTTGCACTATTTTAAGGCCATAGTCTAACGATTCGATTATATTTTGAGCTGAACGTGAATTGAGAAAATCGTTGCCCAAATTCTGTATCATACGTTTTACGTAGAGACTTTGCTCATATATGATGTTCGCATTTGTAATGTTTTGCAGTTGAACGGTATTCGGAACATCTGTCGAAAACATAGATTTATAGTGTTTTGATTTATTTCAATGCGTTGCTCAACTCTTACCAAATACTTGCTGAGCATCACCGCCAATTTTTATATTAGCTTCAATTTTCGTCCAAAATTCTTTATTACACGCAATAAATATTGCCGTCACCATTCCACATAATCGATTATCGCCAGATACATTTCGTAGTTCCTTTTCAGCAGCCTGTATAAAGGCTTCGATTGTATCCTAAGAGAGAATTAAAAATAGTTCGAGATTGAAACGATATTTATGCCGATTGAATGGTATATTTACTTGATTTGGCGTATCGGCTGCAATTAACGTAATCTTTAGATTATTTGCACACTGTTCCAAGTAGCCAGCTTCCAAAGATCCAAATAAACTCTCGCCGCTGCAAAAGAAACGCAACTTATTGATTTTCAACTTTTTATGATTGAATTGGAACTTACCCAATATTTAATTTATTTTCGCATTTGGTGTGCAATTGTTTAGTTAAACGCAGTAATTTTGGAAGATCTTGTACAAGACACTGTCGAATATACGGCGGGCAATTTGTAAATGAAATGCGCAACAAATCATTGAGTCGATCATGAAAGTTTTTCTCAATGTCAACGCTTTCGAATAAATTCATGGCATTCGGTTGATGCACAACTTTTTTTAAGCATTCCGTTAAAAAATTGATTTGTTTCCAACAATTGTAAATCTCTTCATCGAATAAACTTTCTAGTGCTGTCCAAAATTTTCGGGAAAATTGTTGTGAAGCGGTGGTTCCTTGCGGTTTGCCTGGGCTTGGTTTCGGCTTTGTCTGATCAACATTGTTGCCTGCTTTTGATTTTCTTTCGCTAACTTTTTTCGTTTGAATGCCGGCAAAACACTCTTTTATCGCATGCTTTATGTCACCAATGAATATGTCCAACAAATCATCGATATACTTTGGCAGTACTTGCATATTGGTGAACACCTTAAAAAAAAATCATGTTTATGAATGAAAACGAACACACTTTAAATAATCCTGAAGATCGGTGCAAACATGTACCTGCAAACTTTTAACAGCTTTATCTTCGTCAATCAAACTTTTCAATGCATTCAATAAGTCATGATGAGCAGTATTTGTAAGTAATTGTTTTATATTAGCCGCCGCAAGTCGCTCACTGCGTATGAATTCAATTTGATTGAGCTGCTCATTTTCGATCAGCAACTCAATTTCGAATAGAATTATTGCTTGGGCGGCAATGTCTTTTGAGTCTGGCGTTAGCTTATGGAATAACTGTAAAAATCGATTTGATTGACGTAAAATGTGTGACACATCATGTAGCCGTGCCAAGGCTCTTGTCTGATTCGAAAGGAGACTGTATGGTGTATTGATTTTGTTCTTAAGTCGTTCAGCACCAATTTCCAATTGATTCATATGATGATTCACCAAATCAACAGCGGCCGACAATTTACTGGCATTTTGCGCTTCCAATAGCAATGATTTATGCTGTTCTCTGACCTGTGTTTGTAATTGTTTTGCCAACATATCAACGCCATCGTTTAATTTCTGGATTTGTTCGTTAATGGCCAAACTAGTTGAAATCACAGTGGTTTCCTTCGAATCATCCGATGTCAAAAACTTTTGATAAAATTCTGTAGAAAAACAACATCAAATGAGAAATTTCATTTTTTTTTTAATTCCGTTAAAATACATTTCAATAAATACCATCGGTTTCGAATGTCTCGCACATAATTAAAATTATTCTCTGTTTTTTTTTTGCTGTTCCAATGGTAAACAAAATAATTTTGTTCGTGTAAATTTCTTCTGTTTCGTATATTTGGTGAGTTGTCATTTGTTTGACTAATTCAACTGTCAAAATATCTGTGTGTGCGTGTGTTTTTTTGTGGTGAAGTTTGACATATCGGTTGAGCGCGTCAAGCATTTGTTTGCATTAAGACAGCAATCAATAACAATCTTCTGTCGGTAAAAGACTCCAATTCAAAGTTTTTTTTTCTTTGTTATTCTCAGAAATTTGTTGAATATTTGATTGAAAAGCGTCCAAGACGACTATTTATTACATCAATATCGAATACAAACCAAAAGCAATTGTATTGAACGAGAGAAATATCGAAAAATGGGACGAAGAAAGGCAAAGAATAAGCCACCACCAAAGCGAAAGGCCATTCAACCATTAGATACACAATTTAACTGTCCATTTTGCAATCACGAAAAATCCTGCGAGGTGAAAATGTAAGTAGACAAGAAAACTAGCCATTTAAAAAGCAAATTTTTATGCATAACATTTATTTGACAAAATTATTGGTTATGGTTATTTTGTGTGTTCGTTCGGATAGGGATAAAAGTCGAAATTCGGCGCGAATATGCTGTCGTGTGTGTTCGGAAGAGTATCAGACGGAAATCAACTTTTTATCGGAACCAATCGATGTGTACAACTGTTGGGTCGACGCTTGCGAAAACGCCAATTGATCATCTATCACACTCATAAACGTTCCGGATTGTTTTTTCTTCTTCTTGATATGATATCCATTACAGAGAAAACCCCACTTATTTAGTTTAAATTAAATGTAAAGCATTTCAGAATCAGCTAGGAAAAACAGTGACAAAAAAATTGAAAACAAAAGCCATGTGGACATAATATTTAGACTTGATTTTATTTCGATCTTTGATATCTCAATAAATAAATATTACAAATACGAATGACGACGATATGGTTATTGTTTTTAATAACAAGAATAATCTTCATTGATTCATATTCAATTTGACAGCGTTTTACGAAGGTGACCAATAGGTAAGTTAATTTGTTGAAATTGGACCTTAAATTGAGTTAGAAGGAGTTGCAGTTAAACAAAATGCATAAAAAAGAATAGAATGTTAGAACAATGTTTTGACATTTTCTTGTTCATGTTTCTTTGTTGTTTTCTCCATAGATGGCGTCATATAATACGTGCAAAAAATAAACTGAATTTTTTTTTTTAATCTATACAAGAACATATGAATATTAATTGGAGAAAAATAAGGGCTATTTTTTCGATGCATCAATTTATATTTTTTGGTTTTCACATATTGGGTGTGTGCATTAATTTTTAAGGATTGATAATAGATTGCGTCACTTGTACTATATCGCATCATTTGACATTTGTCAAAGTGTAAACAACGCAATTTTCTTCGCTTACAATCATGTCAGAAAACGTGCCAAACAAACAGCATTTGCGGGAAGTTTTACTATTCTTCTTTAATTCGAAGAAAAGTGCCGCTGAGAGCCATCGAATATTGTCGGAAACTTATGGTTCCAAGCATACTCCATCGATTTCAACCTGTGAGTATTGGTTTCGACGCTTTAAAAGTGGTGATTTTGAGACAAAAGACGCGGAATCGACAAGCTGCCAAGAAGATTAGCCGAAGTCATAGCTAACGATGGCGAATACATTGGTCAATGTACTCATTCATTTAGTTCTAGAATAAATGTATCTTCGAACAATAAAATCCTTTAAAATTAATGCACACACCCAATAAAAAAATGAGTCCACCCTTAAAATTCAGTAACAATGTGCTTGAAATGATCTAAGTAATAAAAAGATTTAAGTAGCATACTTCCCGTGTCTTTGTTGCAACAAATTAGAAATCATAATTTCCAAATATTTGAGATACTCGTTAATAATAGTATTTGTTGAAGCATTAAATTAATCAAAACTCGGCTGAAATACTTTTTATTTGTGGGTTTTATTTATTATTGAGCTATCCTCAGAGCAACAATTTCATTTACTTCTTAAATATTGCTATGAATTATACGTAAGTAGCTCCTTAATTATTGAGAATTGGCAACATTTGGTTTTGCCCGGATGCAAACCATTGTCACATTCGAAAAGTTTGACATTTTTTAGGGTATACGTCCTCAGATCATTGTACATTTTTGTTCTTCGTTCGTTCGTAGAAATTTAAAAATAAAATTGTGTTCGTTCGTTCGTTCGTAGGAATTGAAAAAAAAAGAAATTGTTCGTTCGTTCGTTCGTAGAAATGGAAAAAAAAAATTGTTCGTTCGTTCGTTCGTAGAAATCGAAACAAAAAAATTGTTCGTTCGTTCGTTCGTAGATTTTGATAAATAACAATTTTGTTCGTTCGTTCGTTTGTTTGTTCGTTCGTTCGTTTGTTCGTTCGTTCGTAGCGATTTTTTATTTCAATATTTGACCAAAAAGGAATCAATTATATTATACACTTATGTCCTGATTTTAAAGTATGAATCAATTTATTTTTATTATAGGGCAGGAAGTGATATTGAGATATTTATATTATTTTTGTGTAAATTTTTGCGAAAAATGAAAAATTAGTGAAATCATTTTTATAAGCTCCTTCCCATTTCTTCACTATCTTTCTCCATCACCACCCTTAAATTTTCCCCTTGAGGACGTATGCTCGATCAAATATTTTTCAACAAATCATTTTCAACCATCCAAAGTGTAGGTACTTTATCTGCTTCTAGTCGTTCGCTCCATATTTTGAAACTTTTCAAATAATCTCTGATTATTTCTAGATCATTTCGTGGAATATTAGTCAATTTGTGCATAACATCAGCATTTTTAACTGCTTGTTCTTTCTCCAATAAAATTTGTGCCAATTGTGTATAATTCAAAGCGAATGAGTTCAAAGTGTACATTTTTGTTCAATGAGAAAAATATACATTTCAATTACACCATTTAGTGGAAAAATTAAAAATCGTCATAAAATGTCCGAAAATTCCTTTTCAAGTAATCTGACCTGTCACCCAAGTGACAAATGAATAAAAAATAAATATATATGCAATTCAAATGGCTTACCAATTGCTATATATTGTCAAAATTAATAAATTGTTGTTGAGTAATAAATTGTCAATCCAACCGAAAGCATTTATTGACATGACCCCTTGAGCTCCTGATCAGAAGCTAAGATTTCGATGTATGAACGAGTGGAATTTAAAGAATATTTCTAATCCCCAGAGGTCAGCATACAAACTAAGCAACCGCGACCTACATTTTATTAGAACCATTCATTTTGATTCAATTATATTGCATCAAAATAACGAGTACAGAGCCGAAATACTAATGAATATTCTATGAGATTTGTTATTTTATAATTCTTTGAAGCAACGGATCACTCTAAAGATTACCATATGCGGCGACTGGGGCTGTGGCCAATTTTTCGAATGGATTGCTCGATTTCGACGCATCTCATATCGTATTGTTCCTCTCTTCTATTATTGTCGCCTAGTTTCAACGCGTAACGTTAGCTACCTGAGCTGATTCAGCTGCTTGACATTTTTTTACTGAACCGCTGTGATCCCTATTTGTGAACACTTCACACAAAATTATTTTCAATTGGCTTTTTGCTCACATGTTTTAGAAGATAAGATTTGGTTTACCCAAAGAAATCACATTTACATTCAGAAAGATGCCATCAACGTGTGTTTGGGTGTCATTTAATTTACTTACCCCATTGAACCAAATAATGACCGCTGAAATTCAATTCGGATGAAAAAATAATATTAAGAAGCTTTTTATTTATTTTAAATAATCTTTATCACCTCTTTATAATTATGTTGATTTTCCAATTGAATACTTAATAGCAAAGAGAAATAAATTGGAGCTGATTTTTTTGGAATTTTGGAATTGAATTTTCTTGACATTCTTCATATTTTGTGTTCAAACTTAAATGGATTTTTGGTTTAGTATATAAAAGTCATTTCGCAATACGGCTTAATTTTGAGACAAATGAATTGACAATGCAGCGTAAATAATTACATCTTTTTATAATTTAATTGTATTTATTGTAAATTGAAATTGATTTGAAGTTGGAGCGTTTAAAAATTTCATTCATTTTTATTTTGAGGTTTTTTAAAGGAAAAAAATCTACTGCAAAGACACTATTTGTTCACGATAAAATGCTGATTTTGGATCAAAACTAATACGAAAAATGTCTACTAAATGAAGCAGTGGTCGGACAAATTTGCTTCATTCTAATTTGTGATAATTACACATTGAATTTTTTTTTTCACACAAATGCTCTATGTATACATTTAGCTAAATTTTGTTATTTTTATTTTATAATTATTATTCATTTTATTGTTTGATATAGATCAGTGTTTTTGTGATATAGATCAGTGTATACGCAAGTGCAAATAAACTTCAAATACATGAAAAAAGTCATAACTGCACTGCATACATTGTATTTATCCAAATAAGTCATCCAGTGATTGATGTTCATCATCATGTTATCAAGTACATTTAAGTTTCGTCAGAGTTTCATATTGTTTTTATTAGTTTAGAATTCATATTTATGATAAATTTTGTAGTTGTTCACTTAATTAATTTAAGTTTGCCGCTATTTTAGGTGGATTAGTTAATTGTCATCGTAGTTATTTTGTGATTTGTACATTTAAGATAGCATATTTACTTGAGACATCAATAAACACATAGAATTTATACGATAAGTTTTTGGTTTTTGATAATTTGGGTGGGTATGCTCTTTTTTTGTTTCGTTTTAAGCAATTGTTGCTTTCACGAAAAAGGGAAAAATCTATGATGGTCAAAAAAATAAAGATTAAAAAAAAAATATTCAAGTTATATGCTGGCTTAGCATTGGATATCATTTTTTGGAAGAAATTTGTTGGGTTCTGTTTTGACAATTAAAGGAGAGAAGGAGAGAGAAAAAAGTGGTCCCTACCAACAAAATGTTTCGAAAAATTGGAGCTCGATGATTCTGTTTGAAAAAATTTGTGAATCCTCATTCTGTGTCAAAGATTTTCTTTCGAAGGTGATTTTATGAGTGAAACGAATAAGTTAATCAGTTAGTATGTACTATTTACAATCTTTTTTTTGTGTCGATTCAATAAATTTAAGAAGAAAAAAAATATCGGAACTCGTTCCTATGCCAAGTTTTTCACACAAAACAAACGAATTGGAAAATATGAAAAAAATCGTTGCGTATGGAAATTAACTGTGCATAATTTAATGCGCATAATCATGTGGGACTTAGTTTATCACAGACAAATATATTAAAACTTTAGATAATTTCTTTTGTCCCTCCCTCGTGCAACAAATGCTCATTTTCTATCACGAATTCGCTGCACATAACTCTGCTTTTTTTTATTCATCTATTCTTAGTATTGTTTTATTTCACAAAATTGTTCATTCGTTAATCGAAATTCAATTAATTCTGGTTTAATTGCGTCCACTTTTCCATTGTATATATAAATTTAAATAAAAATGCTCAAATATAAACTAAATGAATGCCAAAAATAATATTTCAATATAACGATATTATCGATTTTATAAAATTTGTCAGTGAAAATGTCTTTGGTTCCGTCAAATTAAGTTATTTTATGTATCTTTTTCTCTTTCATTGAAAGTTAATAAAACATTTGATTTTTGGTTCTATTTTAGTTTTTGTCGCATAATTTTGCCTTATCATTTGGTGCAAATTCACAAGGATAACAAATAAGTTAATTAAATGCCAGGTTTGATGCCATATTTTAACTTATAAGTTTACCTAACCGATTTATAATTTTGCTATTTTTTCCACTGCCAGTCACTGAATTCGATTAATTATTTGAAAGTTGAAAATTTGCAATAATAAAAAAACGTATATTTTGGTAAGGGTGGTCCCAAACCTTTGAGCAGCAACGAATTTTCAATAAGGAACTTGCAAAAATGATATTTTCTATCATTTAATCTAAC